GTTGTGCCGCAAAATGTAGGGAGACTTTTTTTGTAGGGAGAAATTCGTTTCGAACTTTTTTCCTATTCATAGCTGTGCAGAACTGAGAAAAGTAAACTTCAATGGGTTTTTGACACGCTCTTTCTAGTAGCGCAAACAGAACTACGTAAAACAAAAGCTTTGGAAGTATTTACCAATAAGCCGAAAAAATCGCAAAGATTCTCTGAAAGCGTTTTTTGACAAGAATAATTCCAACGGGCACACCACCTGCAGGTCATTTTTCCCGCTCAATTGCTCCTAAGCTAGTAGATAATGCTACCTAGAGGTGTCCTGCGTAAATCGTAGGTCTCTATCTTGTTTCTATTAGAAGTTATTTTGAAAATATCACGGGTCACCGTTAATTTAATACATTAGGAAATTGTACCTCTATTATCTAAGGTAGACCTTTGGTAGTTTGGAAATTTTTACCTGGTACTCAGAAAATTATGGGGAATAGTCTGGTCGACTCAGATTTTTGATAAAGTTACTTACATTTTTTCCCACAAATTATACAACTAAAATACGATTCACTCCTATATTCACATATGTGTGCATGTATAAATCGAATTTTATTCGATACAGAGTGTTTTCTTTTTTGTTTTTTTAAACCATTTCTACATTAGTAAAGTGACAAAGCGTAATCATACATGCCAAAGACTCTTATACAGTACAATAAAAGATAGAGAGCAAAAGAAAAAAGTAAAATAAGATGAAGGTAAAAACAAATGAGATAGCGTGTACGAGTACTAAAGGAAATGATCTATATCAATAATATCATTATGAGAGGGAATAATTAATAGAGGGAACTGCTGTCTGTCTGAACTTTGCATAGAGGATAGAAAATAAGATGAAACGGCATCAAGACTGAACAATACAGAGTGTGTATCCGTATTCATATATCTGTGTATATTTTCAAGCGCTTGGGATACTGGGATTGCCGGAGTTTGTATCCGTTTAGATCTAGCTTTGGTTCAAGTACTAAGCATCATCCCAGATGTGAGCGGGTGGGAGGTTTTTTTTTTGGTAGCATGAGAGTGAGTTACGAGAAAACATTTCACTCTTCCAGATAGGTGGACTGTTTTCTGCTGATAATAAATATGTATATATATGTGAATACGGATACAGACTCTTTCAAAATCGCTTGTGATTATTGTGCTATTTTGTTTATGAAACACATTCATTTAGTTAAATCTACAATATTGAAGCGTCTTTTGGAGGTCGTAATGTTTTGAAGAGAGATACAGTGCAGGTTGCTATTTTTTTAATAATTCAACAATAGCGTACGATAGAACGTTGCGGTTTTCAGTAATCGAAAACAGACACTTGAGACTAGCTTTCTGTAAACGAAAATAATTTTTTTTAAAAGTTTTTTACCAGATCTTTGGAAAACCAGTTGGATCTCTGGCGGCCTCTCCAAAACAGAAACTAAGCAAACTCTTAGTTTTTCATGATTTAGGGGTGGTATCGGATTGCCTAAGAGTCCCAGGATTAGTATTTCTTTTGATGTGATAATTCTGACAACGAATGCAAACATAGGTAATCGACCACGCTAAATCTTGAGGCAACATTTGTTTTTCAAAAACGTTTTAAAAACCTAGTGAAAACCTATATTATAGTAGTAACACGATTGAAGTAACACATTTTTGCCTAAAATTAAAAGATTCGTAACCCAACAAGATCCATCCAAATTATGTCAGAATATCACCATGTACCCTATTTTACGTGCTCAATACCAAGCAGTTCAACAAAAGCTTTTAAAATTAACCGAAAGTACTTTGGTTTTTGAAGTGGTTTTCTAGAAAAGTTGCGAAGTACAGGAACATTTTTTACTATTCTTAAGTAAAAAAACATAGAGCAGGTGAAATCAAGTACATGTTGATATTCTGACATAATTTGGATGGACCTTGTTGGGTTATGAATCTTTTAATTTTAGGCAAAAATGTGTTACTTCAATCGTGTTACTACTATAATATAGGTTTTCACTAGGTTTTTAAAACGTTTTTGAAAAACAAATGTTGCCTCAAGATTAGGCGTGGTCGATTACCTATGTTTGTATTCGTTGTCAGAATTACCACATCAAAAGAAATACTAATCCTGGGACTCTTAGGCAATCCGATACCACCCCTAAATTACGAAAAACTAAGAGTTTGCTTAGTTTCTGTTTTGAGGAGGCCACTTTGGACTATCTGTCTATGAAAAAGGAACGACCTATTTCTATGTCAGTTTTCAGAGATCCAACTAGTTCTCCAAAGATCTGCTAAAAAAACCGATTAAAAACTTTTAAAAAAAATTATTTTCGTTTATAGAAAGCTACTCTCAAGTGTCTGTTTTCGATTACTGAAAATCGCAACGTTCTATCGTACGCTATTATTGAATTATTAAAAAAATGGCAATCTGCACTGTATTTTAGCTCCGATAATATCACTGTTTGGGATATTTAATATTTTTTGGTTCAACAAACATTGCTGCGATGATTTTTGGCAGATTTTACAAAATTTGCCCTAGTAAAACATCAGGCGTTTTTTACGGTATTTTCAGTTTTTTATTTGTAGGAAAGAAGGTAAAAGAAAACTAAACAAAGTCGGGTCATTTTGACCCATTGGGCTTACTGATATCTCATGGAAGCAAGCATTGTGTAAATTGGAGTCTAGCCAACTTTTACTCTACTACCCGAGATCTATCTGCTCTGAAATTTTCAATTTTTCTGATGAGCCGTTGGCAAGAAAGCCCGGAAAGGGAAATGGTGCCCTTAAGCCATGCGTACCATTATAGATGTGTCGTTAAAGTTCTACATACGTTCTACCGCTCAATTTATTACGCTTACCGATATTCCGAAGTGGCTCGGCAAGCTCTATCTATCTATGAAACATCAAAATGCCGTTCGTCTCATTCGTCTGCATTGTATGTCCATCGTGGCTGAAGAACAAAGGTGCAGAGATCATTCATCTTCTTTAACGGGCCTCGCAGCGGTCCTGAATTGCGGATTTTGTCCTGGTATATTAAATGTGTCCGAAATTGTCCTGATTTTTGATCTTTTTCAAAACCGAGTCAGTGCCATTGAAGATTGTAGCTTAGTGTAGGTGAGGGGATTTCACAAAGACTGTGTTGAATCGGTGATAATAGTAGAAATTCATCTTTTTATTACGAACTTTTAGCAACATCTCGTGCCATCATCGGACAGGAAAGAAACAAAAAATCAACTGAGAGCACAAGTTCAGCCTAGAAATTGAGAGTCCGGTGATTCATTGGGTATCTGCGTTAGATGCTAATCAATGAGTCATAGTATTTCTTCAGGTCCGGCTTTACAAAAAACCGTTCAAAATACAGGTCATTTAAAACCTCTCTGCTTTGAGCACATTTTCGTAGAATCGAATCTGAAGAGGGAATGGCAGATGGTTTCTGCAGTGGCATGGCCCAACATCCCCCTTTTAAAGTATCGAACGACGATGACTTGCTTTTGGTTACACTAATGTCGAACACGAAAAAAAAAAAAAATGGTCATGAAGAGAACGGGTAGATTTTAGGCGGCAACATGTCTAAAGACTTGCTCGGAGGTGACTAAAGTCTAAAAACACTTGATCCTTATGAACTTTCTTCGTGAGTCGTAGTGTGCTCATTGTTGATGTAATGGTTGACGAGGAGGAAGGAACGAGTTGTCTCGACTCGGATGCATTGCGTAATCTTTGTTGGTACTTCACTGTTTCTAAAATGTTTTTTAAAATCGGACTACCCATCACTCTTGCAGCTGTGCTCGCCCTCTCCGCACACGGTACATAAAAAGGTGCTTTTTGATTGATCTGTCTTGGCGTCTCATTGTCAGTTGTTGAATGCAACAACAATAAAAAATAGACAAAGAAAGGAAGAGAAAAAAAAGAAAACAGCTGTGTGTATAAGACCGCACATTTTCTTCTTGTTCATTGTCTCATGAAGGTAACATCGCTGTCGAAATGGCAACACTGAAATAAAAAGAAGGAAACAATCAAAGAAGAGTATCAAAATCAAATCAGTTCCACACGCTCTTCTTTTACCCGAAATAAATGTCTCCGTACACGTGTTTCTCTCTTCATCTGCAAGTACTATTTTTCAATCTACAGGTTAATAATTGTTGACAGAGCAGGACAAAGCAAAGGTAAAATAATTGTAGAGAAAATGTTATCCAGATAATGTCACTCATAAACAGAGTTCTTATTGTTGAGTTGATATTCATACTCAATTTAAAGTATTAAAACAAGCTGCACTTATGGGTAATGCTGCTGGATTGCAGGCAAAACTATGGCTACCTCAAGCATTAAAACCAGGATTATCGACAACGGGAAATGGAAAAATCGAAGTTGAAAAGGGAGACATAACAGCCCAAAAAGTAAGAAGAGAAGCACAGTTACCCATACAAAAAACTTAGTTTTTCCTTTTCTTTTGATAGGTTGATGTTATTATTGGGACTTCATCATCGGAAATACTGAAAAAGGCGATAATAAATGCGGCTGGCGATGTAGTGAGAACTGCGTATGAGACTATCCGCAACCTATATTAATTTCTACTCCTCCTGGGCGACTAGCTTGCAAAAGAATATTTTTTGTTAAATGGAAGCCTGTCACCGACAAAGCTATACTTCGGAAATCAATCGTCGACTTTATATGCAGTGCCATGAAAAATGTTATTTCACACGGTTTCACTTCTGTGGCATTTCCAGCTATTGGCTGTGGCCAACATGACTGTTCTACAGAGCTTGTGATCGAGACGATGGTGAAAGAAATAAAAAATCAACTTATCATAGGACCTGAGTCATTCATGGTAAAAATTGTGGTACTATCTAAACACCAGAATATATACGACGCATTTTGCAAACAAGTCTTAGCATTACCGGCAGGTAAAGTTAAAAGTTTGTTTTCATCATTTTAGTATTTCATTGTTAGAACAGGAAGAGCTTGGAAAAACTTTCATAGTCAATAAAATTTTGTTTACTTGCAGCAGACAAATTGAAACGGGTATATTTTGTTTGGAGCAACAGGTAGACTAAGCAACCGGAACATTTTCTCTCATAAAAATTCAACTCTGCTGTTCAGTGATTGTCGTTCCCGTGGTAGTACTTAGAAATAAAGAAAATCTCTCAAATTTTGGTGTATTTTTCGATAGATTTGGTAGCATCCGTTAATTACAAACTACCCGAAACCTGGGTGCGATCAACAGGGGATAAAATACTGTTTCCGGTATCTAAAGCTAATAATGAATATGAATCGATTTGTACGGATTTTGATAAAGCAATGAAAGGGAAATCTAAGCAAATGATAAAAATTGAACGAATTCAAAATGAACGATGGTATATACAATATTTAGCACACAGCCAAGGTTTCAGAAAACGGCTAAACGGCGACACGGAAATGCGTTTATATCATGGCTGTTCTCAAGAAGCAGCAAATGCAATTATACACAGTTGTTTTAACAGAAGTTTCGCTGGAATGCATGGTAACGTTAAATCCGGTTTGTTTCGGACTATTCAATCTCATATATTTCACCTTTAGGTACTGCATATGGCTATGGTGTTTACTTTTCTTCAAACGCAGCTTACAGTCACGACTATACTAATCCAAACTTCAATGGGGAACGATGTATGTTCGCAGCGCGCGTTCTTATTGGAAAAACAATCCGAGGAAACAGTTCGATGAGAACTCAACCTATCGGATATGATTCGACCACGGATGAAAAACATATTTTCGTTACCTATCATGATGCACAGGCCTAGGGCGAATATTTGATAACATATAAATAGGAATTGCTAGGTATTTTTTACGCATTCATCTTCAACATATTTCCACACTTTTCACATATAAAAATGTTGAACTCAATCAGTCGACTTTATGCTTTTGCTTTGATCTAATCAATTAATAAAAATACATTCTCGAACGCATTGACCAGGAGAGTTCTTAATTACGTGTAAACAAACTGGAATCTGTTCAAACTAAAATAAATTATCCAGGTCAAACATTCCGACCGGAGGGGTTCCTTCAGGATTCCATCGGGTCTCACAGAATCCACCGACTCAATCCGGTCAGATCCAACCACATTATGGTAGAATCGAGTTGAAAATGGAACCGATCCGATCCGACCGGATTCTGCCAGCTGGGAATGATCAGATCCGACACCCGAAATGAGCGAAAAATTTTGTGAAGCAGGATAGCAGTCCTGTTAATCCAAAGTAATCAGCGTATTATTTTGAAAGTGTTATCAGAAATGTTTTTATTGTCATTTGGAGTCATCACTTTCAATCAATCAATCCAAATAATGGAAAAATGATGCCGTTTTCTTTGTAATATCTATTGGTTTTTTTACATCTTTCTACAAAAAAAAGCAATATTTCGATGTATTTTCCATAATTTCTACTGTGTAACTTGGATGGAAGAATAATTATTTTGTATCATTTATTGAAATTAAAAATACATTGATTATTTTTCAAAAAACATCGATTAGGATGCGCGTTCATCGTCCAAAATCTTTTTTTAAAAACGTTTCTCTAACCATTTCTCTGTGAGCAATTTTTCATCATTTTCATGTAAAAGTCATCATTGTTTTGATTTTTTGACCTCTTGGTCCAAAAGTTTCCTAGATAGTGGTCTCGGCAACTCTTTGGATGCATTCAGTACCAAGACCGAAACGGAATCGCATATTCAACTGAGTAAAACCGAATCGCCCTAAATGCCTAAGATACAAAAAAATGACAGAAAAATGAGTTCGCAGCGAACAAATTATGCACGACCTCCAGGCGAAGACGTCAAGACTGGTGGTGATTCATGTTTTTTCTCTAGAAATCACTAACGAGGGAAAGTTCTTAAGTGCCCCTTCGCTTTTTCATGTTAATTCTTAAACACATAAAAATAATATGTTTCATGATGACAAAATTTTGTAATTTATTATTGGTCTAACATGAGAAACCAATATTTAGTCTTGTGTAAACATAGTTTCCTAAAAATATATTTGTTCTTCTAAATATTCACCTTGAAAAATATAATACTAAATCATTGCTTGAATAGGTCTTAAATGAGAATTCGCGTCTATACTTTTCCTATCGTTCTTATTTTTTGTTATATTTGAGATGATGGAAGAAGGGGGAAAGTAGTCAAACGTTGACGGTAAAATGTCGAAAATCAAATGTCGACCGAAAAAAATGTCGACAATGTGTCGACAATGTAAAAGGTCGACATCATGAAATACAAAGAAAAGAAGCTGATGATGAAAAAATAAAATTGGAGCATGAATAAATTAAATTTATGGTTTATTAGGTAAAATTCGAACACATGTCAATGAAAAATAAAATAAAAATGCATATGAGTGAGAACGAAGAGCTAGAGTCATACATGTACCAACACATTCGTATAATTTTCATTTTGTGCCGACAATATCACAAACGACATTACCGCGAAGATTCGTTTATTAGAAAAGAAGAATAAATGAGCCTGGTTTTGTATTTTATATATCATGTCGCGGGAGATGGGGAGGGAGAGCGGCATTGTGAGCGTGAGTTCGAAAAGTAGTGTCACACAAAACATATTTTCATGATGCGCTAGTAGATATTTGTGACTGCGTCAGATGGTGACTAGTCAACACTTAACTTCAGTTAAGTTTGAAAACATGATGTACAAAATAGAAAAGCGGTCTCATTTATTGGTCTTTTCAATAAACAATTGTTCGCGGTAATATCGTTCTTTGTATTCGTGGTAATATCGCTGTATCGATGGTACATGAAATCTCAGTGCTAGAATGTTTAGGCACCCTTGTAAATGTTTAGAAATCATTCTGAGAGAAAGTGATTCACGGGAATTGCTTTCTACAGGTAACAATTTACTATAGTATGCCCATTAAAAATTCAGAGTCGGCACACTCAATTACCTATATTGACTATTTTTCGGTAGTAAAACTGAAAAAAAAACGTAAAATCATTTTCCTCTGTATTTCAGGTTTTCATCTAAAAAACACCTTAAAACTTCTCCGGATACACTCCAAATCAGTTTTTTTATAGGTTTTGCGATATGGTCTTTCATTTGGACAGATCAGAAAATTTTTTTGGCGTAAAAAGTTTTTGGACCTGGAAACTTGGGTTTGGGTTTTCCAGAAAGCGATTTTTAGAGACCCATCGGCCCAAATGATTATCATATTTGGATTCAGCATAGTCGATTACCTACTGTTCACCAGGTTTCGGTAAAAAAGCGATTAATCACTTTGGATTTTTCTCACCGAAGATGAGGTCAAATCGAAATAAAAAGATGATATTCGTGATCAGCTCATCCTGACAATTCAGAATATGTATAATGAAGTCGAAAAAAAATTTCACTTGAATTTTGAATTAGCTGCTCCTTAAAGATATTCAGATACGGCGTAAGATATCCACGGGCGTCTACTTATCAGCAGCGGTTATTATCTTTCTGTTTAGATTATTCAATAACTACTGTAGCTTTGCTACATTTCTACGTCCGAAACCACGCAGAATTGGCGTTGGTATTTATCTATTGATCGTTTCTATATCAAACCAATGTTCACTGTTGTGTCTTCTATTGAAAATCATTGAAATTATCCTGTGTACAACTAGTTTACTCTTCACTTATAAATTATTTAATCTCTACTCGTGCAAAATAGTATCATATCTTCTTCCAGTATTTACATGAATTAACTATTGGCTAACAAGTCTGGTTACCATTGAGTGTCTTTCTGTTGTGCTTTCAACATCTTTTAAGCTGAGAAAACCGCCTAGCTCTGAGTGTATTCGTTGTTGTTACTGTTTGCGGTATGCATGCTCATGAACTCCTATACTATACGACGATTGTTGATCCTACTTTTACGGAAATCAATTTTACTCTCTGTGTTTCAAACTACACTCACCAACTAGTTTCAGTTTACAGCCGTATTAACGCTGTAATTTCTTATACAAATTATTTCGATCACTACACTCATCTTTCAAACTGCATGCAGTCGACAAAGAACACCGAATGGTTTAGATGCACAGCAAACATTCGTTGAAATATTCAAAAAAAAATTCAAATGTATAAAGATTACTATCTTACGCCAGTGATTATTATCTTAAGTGCACTGCCACAAGCAATTTTCTCGTTCACTTATGTGTGTACAGAACTAAAATACGTCTAGTTATACACTTTTAACAGCATATTTTCTATCATATCTACCACAGATTCTCGGTTTCATACTCTATGTACTACCATCAACAACATTCAAAGAAGAATTTAATCAAACATGGGTTGGTAAACGATTAGTAAGAAAGCCACATTGAACATGTGACAGGGAGCTTTCTACGATTATTTTTGTCTGTACTGGTATAACTATCTATCTATATATATAAAGAAGAAAGTTTGTTTGTATGTTTGTATGTTTGTATGTTTGTTTGTATGTTTGTTCTCTATGCATTCAGTCCCTGTAAGAGCTAAAGCAGCCAAAATTTGCATGGCACACCCTTGGGTCCAGGGGAAGGTCAAGAGGGGGTCGGCGAGACCGAAGGAGGGGGAGGGCGAGTTCCCGCCCAGTTTTCAAAAAATGGTTGAAAGATTTTCGGATTTTTATGTTCTCCGATTTCTGAGGTACTTGCATCTTGCTTTTATATCTTCGCACTGCCCTTGGTCAAGGGCTACTTTTCAATATAAAACTTTTATCTCTGGGATACTTAGTAATCCGATCGTTGGACCGCTACAGTGAGTCTCATCGGAGAAGTCCGAAGTGAAATTGTTTTCTCGACTCAGCGGGGGTGTTTCGACAGCGGAGGGATGGAGAGAAAAGATGGAGTGGAGGAGTATTATTCTCCCCCCGCCCCCTACTCGAAAATTTTGGTTTTCTATATTTGGCTGTATCTATATATATAAAGAAGAAAGTTTGTCTGTTTGTTCGCTATGTATTTCAACACGGTACGGGGAATTGGATCAAAACCTTTTCAGAGGCCTTCCTCTCACCTAGAGGAAGGTCGACGACCCGTTTTTGTCGAAAAAATATCGATCCTCCGGCCAAAAATAGCCTCCTACTTTTTCGAAAATACGTCCCACGGAACGATTCAAGGAGTGCATTACCCAGGTGGAACGATATGGTTCCGTAGAGTGGATGCAATGATAGCTACGTTATGATATATCTCTACGAAGAAGAATGTTTGTCTGTCTGTACGCTATACATTCAGTTCCTGCGATAGCTAAGGTCACCGAACTCTCCACATCAGTTGCTTAGGTTTCAAGGAAAGTTGAAAGAGGGTCGACATGGTCGTCAGGAACAGGTAATAGGGGCCTAGGTGAAACTTCACACAGGTCATCCGACACGGCGACTTTTTCCAATTCTTCATCAAATGCCAAAACTTGCTGTGAATTCGAGATTGGACCTCTCTTACTGCTACTTAACCTTATCAAACGTAGGTGTGGCACAAAGGGACGACCATCGGCCTGTGTGAACAACACTTTATACCTGACTGCTCTGTGCGCATTTGATCTCGGTTGCAACTAGGGTCATCATACTTTTTAGGGCATATCCTCTGATATGAAGGGCCGAGTGGGAGTTAGCGCTACAAGCAGCCCTGGAAGAGGACGGCATGTGTGAACTATCACCCGGGTGATGGATACTGTAGCTCTGTTACGACCAGCGTCACTGAGTCTCAACACAGTTCTATTTAATACACTAGAAGGTCGAGGCAGATCCATGCGACTACTTGCTTTAAGTAGCATTTCACATAGACTTAACCACAATAAATGTGCGTCGCTTTATCAGACAGCTCGAAGTGTAAGGTACGATCGTAAGCCTACTACTGCTACTTTTTACAATTAATGCAGAGGTGTGTGATAGAAATGGTGATAGGTAGAAAGAACCAAAGCAGATTTACACGCTATAAACTAAATTCTCACATCATATAGTCGGTGTGACTAATCATCTCAGTTTATGCACGGTGGGGAAGGTCCTGTTAAAGATGGAAAAGTTCAAGGCAACTCACTCTACATCGGGTACCTCCGCTAGTATTTAATAAATCCGAGAAATTCGAAATAATGACTATTCTTTAACTCTGATCACGTAAAATTATTTAAAAATTGTTTTATGCCAACATGTGAGTGATGTAAAGACAAATAAATGTTATTGCTAATCAGGTCTCTTTTATGCGCTCTGATTTATTTGCTTGCTACCAAAGAAGAAATTTGTTTCATTTGATCTCGTTCACGACAGGCACCTAAAGTCTTTTCAGCATAACCTACACTAAATATGTTTTCTTTCTACTCGTCTGTGCTGCTATATAGTAGTAGCTTGTTAATCAAACAAAAACCTCGGCTCAGTATTGTTTCTCGACGTGCTAAGCTAGCAGAGTCACTTTAACAGTTTCATTGCTTCATACTCTCGCAACAGAACAAACAGAAGTTTTCTTTAGGAACTTGTAAGTATGTAATTATATCTTCACTAAAAACTTTACTGGAAGTTATTTATCCGAGGTAAGAATTTTCCACTTTTCTATAGTTATACATCTCAGAAGACAAAAAAACCTGTATTTTGTCACGCTTCGACGAACCTTAGATGCTTTTCACACACTGTCAGAATATAATAAATGAAAATTCTTTCGCTTTTCTACTTTACTGAGACACAGAAGGCAATAAAAAGCGCAGTAACGTAGAAAATTAGGCAGTAAGAGAAACGTTGTTATTTTTTTGAATATACATGTCACATATAACGCAATACACATGCAGTTATGGCTCCTATGACAACTGTACTAACAATTCCAATTACACTCCATCCAATTCTATTAAATAATTTCAGCATTTTTTCGATCTTTTTCATATCATTCAGACGTGGAAATGCTCTACCGTCTGTCGGTACTGCTACATTTAAAAATTCACATAATGGTTTCCAGCCTTCAGTATTCTTTGACAGATCCAAGACCAAGAGACGATCTTTCGGTACTGTCTGTTGTACCATTTGATTATGTCTGTTATAGATACCAATTGCATACTGCTTATCAAGGAAACGATTATGAAATGTACCAGTCCAGATCAACTTAAAACCCATGTTATATATTTGACGTGGGACAATGTAACGTATAGGAAATTCGTGACTGACGCGATAAAGTGTACTGAGCATGCTAAAAAATAGAGAATTTGAAAGAAGTTCAACTGTACCGGTTCGGCGCTGAACGGATCCGATCGTCTCCACTGAGCTTTGCTGATCTAGCAGAGTGCCGGTTCTAAAATTTTAGTGCATTCTTTCCTTCTTTGTTTCAACCTTTTTTACCTAAAAATACTTTTACAAATCTCAGGACCTGGCCCGATTTTCACCTTTTTGAGAACCATGACTGTTTTTTGGTCACAATTTTTTTTAAAGGATCTCTTGGCAGCCAGCCGCACGCGATTCGTTTGCAAAACCTAGTTATGATACATGCACAAAATCTCTTACCTTTTATACCAACTTTCACCATCTCTCAACGTCAATATTACTTTAGCATCTGGATATTGTATCATCAATTTTTCATACACAGTTGTACTTGGCCAATCAACTGTAGCTGTATAGGGATCAGTTTCTAATTCTTTCTTTGAATATTTAAAGATAAGATCAAAGTCAGCGAGTTTCCCATCATATGCTTCGGACCATAATTTTGAATGTGGTATATTTTTCTGCATTAGTTCTTGCCAATGGTAACATTTATAACCTAAGATGTTTAGTGCTTCTTTCAGTGATAAAGTACCGGTACGACCAAAACCAGCACCTATGACTTTTATTGTTTGGGATGATGGTGGTGATTGTTGTGTAGTCATTACAGAAAAATCTGTGAAAAGGTAAAAGTCAGTTTTCATTAGATTTTCTACACTGTTGAAAAATCCGACGACTTAGAAAATATTCTGTTGATTCTTTCCCTCTAATTTTTGTACTAGAAACAAAACGTTCTTCCGTGTTCAAATAAAAAGTAGTGCTAAGCTTAAGGGTACCCTTCCCCTCTTTTTTAACTATTGCCGTGTATCGAACAGGAGAGGATTGTCAGAATTCCATCCAAAACAGAATTCAGTAAAAACCTATCGTAGTTTAGTTTATTTTAGCATCAGAATTTAATGAGAATTAGCGGAACGTAGTTGTTTAACATACTCGGAAGTTTGAGATATCCCATCAGAATTTAGTAGTTTTAGCGGTATTTAGCGTCAGAATTTAGGTAGTATATCCAGAGTATAGTCTTAGCGTGACTGTATTTGAGATTTAGGAATGCTCTCATCAGTACATAGTATTTCAAGCAGAATTTAGTGTGTCTACACTGCAGTGTTTTTAGTTTGCGTGAAGACAGGTTTGGTTCGATTTTCCTGATTGATTCTTTGTATGGTTTCGTTACAGATGTGTATTGTGAAAAATTCGTGGAACAATCCAGATCCGGCATACAGTAATGTCGTTCGCGAAAAAGTTGTTTCAGAAAATAAAGTATTATTTTCGAAAAATAAAGTCACTCAGAAAGGTAGACAGTATCTGAGGGCTCATAATAAATGTGCCTTCTTTATCAACTTTTCATTTGACAATGCTGTTCACACAGTGTAATCTGATGAAGCATACCGGGTATCTCATAATAAATGAGCCTCGCCATATTTTGACTGTAACTTTTTATCTTGTCAACGCTGAGACATGAAATTTTTTTTCAAAAGATGCGCCGTCAAATTCTCTACATAATGTGTGCTAAGCGTTTTATTACAGAATAGTCACAGACTGCACGAAAAAGCATTTGTCGTCGTTCGACAGTGAGTTTTCGACACTGTCGGATTTTTCACCCGGAAATCGACAGGCTGTCGACAGTGTCGAATTTCAAGTGAAAACTTTCGACACTATCGAACGACTCCTCCACAAATTTTTGCAACAGATTTTAAGAGCCGTTATCTAACAGAAACAGACAATCACCCGTAGATAGTAATTGTTGATGTCACAGATTTAAATGGGATTTATACCAGTTGTAGGTCGATATGTAACTAGATAATCGTTTTAATAGCGTCATTCAAAATGCATTCGTTCTCGAATTACAGAGAGGGCAAGAGGTGGC